GAATGTGGCTGAATTTGAAGTTCAAGGTTAAGGCGTATTCTGAAGCTGCTTGTTTAAAACCCCCGTTTGTTGTTAGATGGAATGCTGGGTGTAGGCTGGGTTGGTTCGTGCTTGGGATCTAGCCTGAAAGACATGATTTTACCCTCAACAAATATCGTCTTTGTTTGAATAGCTACAGTCTATGTAACCACAGTGAGGTCTTTTTTTCTCCCTTAGAATGTATCCCAAATGGCTACTTTCTTGTGCTTGTTTCACAAATAGTTTAAAGTGGAAGCTCCTTCCGCTGTCCTGTTTGTTGCAGAATGTTTGAGCTACCACTTAACACTCTTGGTGTGCTTGAGAACTTTAAAATAATAATGAAATTTTTGAATAGATAAGTTTACTCTATGAGGACTGAAGCCGTTGTTAATTCTCAAGGCCAGACTGGTTATCGAACAAAGGGTAAAGTACTTTTTAAATTGAAATTGTTGATTTATGTATATTTAACATTCATCTTTCAAAATGTACACTAGGAAAAATGGTCTGTTGTCAGTTTTGCTTTATTGGATTGAATTTGAAATTTAATAACTTTTAATGAATTGTTCAGTAGAATTTGGGGTTAACTTAGTGATACTAAGTTGCAATGCCTGGTTTTAAAAAACGTAATTCAGGAGGATACTTGATTTTTAAAAGTTCTTGTGTTTAAATAGAATTGGAGATCTTCTTAAAACGTTATTATTGTTAGCCTTTAAAACACTTCTTAAAATGCTACAGTTGTCATTTTCTTCCATAAATTTTTGCCCAAAGATGTTTTCTTGTATATTTCTTGAGGATTTATTTAATCTAGACATCTTCTTACCCTAACTGCTTAAAATATGCCTCTTATCCTTTGAAACTTTGTTATAGACGTAAAGTTAATAAAAGTAATTTGATTCAATTTGGCTTGAATAATATAATAGGTTTTTAAAATTTGATAATGACATGTGATATAAGGACCAAGTAACACAGCTGTCATTGTTTGATAGGTGCCTGGAACTCTGCACACTTGCACACAGACACTAGCCAGCTGTTGACATCCTCAGTGGTCAGTGTTTTAGGGCAAACTCTTAGTTCTTGCAGTGGCATTTCTAAATAAGTCACAGAACGAAAACCAAGGGAGTACTTGAGTGTAAGTCCTAATAAACTTGTGAACTATAGATTAGCCTATATGAAACATAATTTGACTATAGTGAAATCTGCAGAAAGATATGACTGCTTAACTCTAAAGATGATTTTCTCACAATGTGGATTATTCAATAATGTCTCCAAAGTCAGTGCTAAAAAGGATTGGCATTCCCATTTAGTCTCTTCAAAGAAGCAGGTTGGGCTATATTTTTAAAATTAGTTGGACTTTAACTTCACTCTCTTGTTAGAATATATTCATTAACATTACAAAATTTTCTCCTCATGGGAAAGTACAAGGATAAAGAATTTCTAAAGGAATTTAAAGATATAAAGCATTTACTTGATTTAGAGTCACGTCTACTATTCTAACTTTAAAGCACATCATCCTTCTCCCATAATTTTAGGATGCAATTTCATCCATCTCCAGTACGACCTCTAGCAGTTAGCTTTCTTTTCTGGACACCTCTGGACTGGAGATGACTCATGTAAAGCTTTACATCTTAGAGTTTGCCACAGTGATGTTTTCCTGGCGTACTTGGCATCTTCACTTCCCAACTCCACACGTTTCCAGCTCTTGCCTTTATACTTCAAACTTTTTGTTCTTAAGTTGAAAATATAGCTGAGATCCCTAGGACTGGTAACAGCAATAAAGGTGTAAAATACGTTCAGAGAAAACATCCATTGAATTTGGCCTAATCACTGCAGAAATTCCTGCTTAGCTGTTTTGATAATGGAAATAGAATTTAATAGGTAGTCAGGTTTCCTAGTTTGAGGTAAATTTCTATTGATTTGCTTCTCTGACCCTCTTGTAGAAGTATGAGTATGATGTTTTAAAGCTGGGCAACAAAAGAGGGAAAAAGAAATGGACAAAGGCTCATCCATTTAAACTAGGATAATGAATATGTGTGTAATTATCCCAGACTTCTGATTGCACTAGTTCACTGTGAAAGTCTGGACAACTAGTCTGTGTTTTTGTTACTTGGTCGAACCAGTCTATTATGCATTCACATTTTCCCCAAAGGATAGAATTTTGACACATTATAGTCTGAGAAAAGCAGTGACATAAACATTTTTTACCAAATAAATTTAAAAATTTACAAATTCCCACTTTGCTGTTTTTCCTATTATAAACAACCTTGCGCTTGTTTGATGATCTCATTGACATAAATCCCTTGTTGGTGGAATTGCTGGGTAAAGGATATGCCTGTTATTAAGATTTTTGATACATATTATCAGATTGCTTTCCAGAAAAATTTTATACATTTATGTCTCCCTTCACTGTTGTCAGCACTGAGTTGTATCGCTGCATTTTGGGGTCAGTTTGAGACAGGTGCAAAAGGATATTTAAAAACTTGTGTATTTTTAGTTTCTAATGAGTTTGCCCCCCCCCCCCCATGTCTTGGCTTTTAAATTTAGATTTTAGTTTTAATCAGAGCTATACTTGGTTTAAAGATTCAGCAGTCTGTAAGGTAAGAATTCTATTGAAAAATAGCCAGTGTCCATACTCTTCCCTCCTCACTGCCCACTCCACAGAAGTAACCACCCATACTGCCCTAGCTGATCCTTTTCTGGTTTCCTCCCATGATATGCGCTGACGTGCCTCTGTTGCCACTTCCTCTTCTGCAGCTTCAGGCATTATCTATTGGCTTCCTGCTTTGGAGGGTGAAGACTTGGCTTTCTTCTATCCACCTGACCTCTGCCACACAGACTGTGCTCATCCCTTCCACTCTCAGGGAGTTTACGCCTCTCATCATCTCCCTGTTTTCTCACCCCACCCTTCCCTCTTCTCAGGACTCGCTGTTCCCTGAGCCTTTGAGGGAGGGAACTTAAAAAGTCCCTTTGTTATTTAGAGAGGTTTTAGGGGGACTAGATAGCAAAGTGTGTGTTCCATCTGCCATCTTTTTTTTTTTTTTTAAGGATTTTTATTGGGGAGTTGGGGGGATGGGAACAGTGCTGGGAAATTGGGGGAAGGGGAACAGACAAGTTGCTGTCGTCTTGTTCCTCAGTCTAGTTGTGGAGGACGTTGCTTCACTGGCCCAAGTTGACACCATCATTGCGCTCTTCCTGGGTGAGGCAGATCAGTCACCGGCTTCTGGACGGCCGCTCACTGCGGCTGCTGGCCGCTCACGCTGGCTGACTACATACGGTAGCCCATGGCAACCCACTGCCACAGGGGCTGCAGCCTACGCTGTCACCGGCGACCCACGACAGCCCAGCTCCAGGTCGAGCTGTTGTTCAGCATCTTAGCTGTAGAGGGCGGTGTCACTGGCCCTCATATGTGGGATCCGAACCGGTCCCTCTGGCATCCCAAGCCAGGTCTTAACCATCGCGCCACTCGGCTGGCCCCCATCTGCCATCTTTAACTGGACATCCTTTTTCGCATCTTTAGTAATCACTTGAATAAAGTAATGGTTAAAATTAAGGCTATGGTGTCAAGACTGTCTGGAGGTGAATCCTGGTTTTGCTATTCAGTAGCATTGTGACCTTGAACAAGGTGTCAAATCTCTCAACCTCATTTTTTTCATCTGTGTAATAGAATTAATATGATGCCTATCTTAGATGCTGTTGTGAGAATTAAATGTGATGAGGCATGTAGAGTGCTCCTCACAGTCGTATCTTCTGCCTGGCAGTATCTTACTATCTGGCAGGCACTTAGTAAGAACACAGATACAGTTGGTGCTGCTATTATTACTCTTGTGAATTTCTTGCTCATGACCTTGGCCCAGTTTTCTAGTGGAATGCTTGTCTTATTCTTCTTGATCAAAGATGCCATGTATACTATCATTGGTCTTCTATTTTTATTCATGGTACTTGGGATGTGTAATCATATCCTATTTCATGTCGTGATCTCTACTTTTGTTGTTAGATTTGTGTTTTTGAAAGATACCTGGTGTAATAATAAGAAGAGTGTGTGGGGGGAGGTGAGAGGTAAAACTGGAGATTATTACAGTATTTGGGGTGATTGGTAAGGGGGATTTCAGAGGCTAAATGAAGAAATTATTATTTTCATCACATAAGAGAAATAACTTTTTAACTCCTGAAGTATATCTTGCAATAGTTTATTTTGTGAACAAATTCCCTTAATTTTTAAAAGCTTTCTTGAATGCTCTTCTCATCATTTACCCAAATGGAGTTCATCTGAAAACTTCAAGTTTACAGTTCAATTTTTTGTTTTGTTTTTTTAAAGATTTTATTGGGGAATTGGGGACAGGAACAGTCTTGGGAAATTGGGGAAGGGGAACATTGTGTTTTCCCAGGACCCATCAGCTCCAAGTCAAGTTGTTGTCCTTCAATCTTAGTTGTGGAGGGCGCAAGCACAGCTCCAAGTCCAGTCGCTGCTTTTAATCTAGTTGTTGGGGTGGGGGGCACAGCCTACCATCCTATTTGGGAGTCAAACTGGCAACCTTGTTTTTAAGAGCACGCGCTCTCACAAGCTGAGCCATCCTACTACATGTTGGCAGCTCAGAAACAGCTCAGCTCAGGCACAGCTCACTGGCCCATGTGGGAATCAAACTGGCAACTCTGTTGCTCAGAGCTCATGCTCTAACCAACTAAGCCACCTGGCCGGCCCGGTCAGTTTTTACTTTAATACTCATTTCTATGAAATGAGATCCAAAATTGATTCTTGAGGGATAATATTTATCATATCCTCTAAGTTAATACTATGTTAACAAATTTTCTTTCTTTTGAATATCATGTATAATATTGAAATGGAAGATATGTTGATATTTCAAGTTTGTAGTTATAGATACTTAACTCATCCTTTTATTTGATTTTGCTGGTTTGTTTTAGTTTTATAATTAATTAACTTTATGACTCTTTAAATAGCAGTTCATCTAAATTTGATGTCTCCACAGATTCGGATCAGGATGTAGCACTCAAACTTGCCCAGGAGCGAGCTGAAATAGTTGCTAAATATGACAGAGTAAGTATTTATATTTACTCTTGGAGTAAGTTTTATTAGAAAAAAACATAAATAGAAATGGACTTGCATTTTGGAGAGCTTAAATTACAGAAGCAGTTTGTTTACTTCATGTGACCATTAAAGTTATCTTTTGTCTCTGACTTCATCTCTAAATTTCCTCTCCCTCCTTCCCTCTGCCCTTGCGGCTCTGACCTCTTGCTGTTCTTCCAGCACTCCAGGCTTGCTCCTGCCTCAGGGCCTTTGCACTGGCTGCTGCCTCTGCCTAGAACACCTAACTCCTGGATATCCTCATGCCTCAGGGCCATACCTCTTTCAGATCTTTATCCAGATGCTACCTTCTTAATGAGATCTCTGACCACACTGTCCAGTAACTCCCCTTCTTACCTCCAGCACTTTTTATCCCCTTTCTCTTCTTTACTTTTCACCGTAGCACTTATTGTATTAGTGCACTATATATTATACTTCCTTTGTTGTCTGCTATCACTCCTACAATGTGAACTCTCTGAGGGTAAGAATTTCTTTTGTTTGGTTTACTCTTGTATCCTAAATATCTAGAATGGTTTCTGATTCATGCTAGGTATTTAATAAATATTTTAATAAGTTAGTATATAGAATCAAGTACCCAGTTTATTCATAATTTATATGTGCTATTCAAAATTTAACCTGGATCTGAAAAATTTGAATTTATACATTTACATATAATCGCCATGAATATTTTATCCTTATATTAGTTATGGAATCTGGTTTTTGATGCTCTAGGAAGCCACAGTTGCTGAGGTTTTACATGTCTCATTACCTTACATCTGGAAGTCTATAATGAGCTACGGCAGTGATTTATTAATAGAAATGTCCTGTTTTATATTTATATCACTTGTGTGTAATTTCATATTTGTTATTGTTGGTTATTTATGAGAATAGCAGAAGCAAGAAACTATAAGACAGCCATCTAGACTGTGCCCTGAGGTATACAGGTGGCACTCAACTCAGTAGTCATGTTCCCAGAGCTCACATTTAAGGTGGCTGTTTGGAACATCAGTGGGTTTTAGTGTAGTCCATGAAAAACGTGATTCATTTATCTTGCTGGTTAACTAATCTAAAACCAGTGTAACTATCATCCATTCATGCCTGCATGCATTGTTTTTCATGCAGCTCACACTTAGTGACCAGGCCAGGTGTCATGCTAGGTGCTGGGGAGTCAATCACAGACGTGCGTTAGAGCTGCCTTCTCCCACAAGCTGCTTACAGCCGACTCACAAACACACGAGCAGACAATTATAAAGTATACTCAGATGGAGGGGTCCACCAGACGGTTGGGTGTTGTGTCTGAAATTGGAGGCATTGGCACAGACAGTTACATTTGGGGGGTCCTGCACCCGCAGTGCTGGTTAGCCTCAAGGGTAGAGTGAGAGGGCAGTGGCTAAAGACAGAACCCTGGGCACACCACTGGGTAAGAGATGCCTATGAAAAAGCCATCAAAAGAAGAGTTGGAGATGGACAAGGAGTACCAAGAAGGATGGGTCATGGAGGCTGAGGAGTAGGGAGCAAGCAACACTGACAGGTGCATCGAGAAAATCCCATTAGATAAGGACACGAGTGCCCACCGGTTTTGACAATGGGAGTTCGTTTTTGACCTTGGAAGAATGGTTTCAGGGCTGATGTAGCTGTGAAGTAAAGAGATAGACAAGGGGACTAGCCCACTCATCTGAAAAGTTTGGATGAATAAAACAGGAAATGTTTCTTTCCTAGGACATGTTCACGCCAACACTTTAAAGTTTGACGGTTCATTGTTGAAGGCTTTCTCATCCTCCCTTCTGAGGTTCTCATCAGAACCCAAGTCTGATCAAGGCTTAACTACGGCACATGTCAGCAGTTGCTGACATGAAATAGCGTTCGAAGTTCGTAACTAGAAAATAGTGATTATGTTGCCAAAAATAGGTTGTTTTTTTTAAGTTAAGTAACATGGATAATACCTCATTTTCAGCTCTTACTGTTAATACATAAGAAAACAACTTTTTTAGACTTTTTGTTTAACAAAATATTCAGTTTTATAGAGTCCCAGTAACACCCCTCTTTGTCCCCTATCATAGGGACGAGAAGGCGCAGAGATCGAGCCCTGGGAAGATGCTGATTACCTTGTTTACAAAGTCACAGATAGATTTGGCTTTTTACAGTAAGTTGCATAGATTGAAAGCTAACTTTTTAATTATAATGTTTCTGTGGACACTTATTGTATTGATTTTCTTTTTTTTTTTTTTAATAGCACTGCTGTGAATAAGATTCCAGGACTGGTCCTGCAACACATTTTTTGTTATTAAATTCCTGGCATTTTTAACCTCTATGATTGAAATGGAACTATTTTCCAAAATACAATCTTTATTATTTGTTGTATTTTAGTAAGAACATTAAGTACAATAAATGAGTTGTATTAATAATTTAGCAGAATGAAATGGAAATTAATAGCAATGTGTATTTCAGAAATAATTACAAGACATTTCATTTTATATAAATGCATTTAAAAAATAATTAGCAATTAGAACTTTAGTGTTTTGCAGCCTAAAAATGAGCAGTGAAATGCCATTGATCTTTCTTATAGTTGTAAATGTATTTGTTGTTATTGCCTCTCAAAATTAATTCCATTTATCCTGAATATGTTACATAAAGAGTGGAGAGAAGTCTAGACCACTGTAAATTGGTTACAAGGATTTTGATTCTTAGAAACATCCTGCAAATGATGTGAATATGCCTGTTCTGGTTCCGGCTTTGTTTAGTCAGATTCCCACAAGCTGGAGACGTCTCTCCATCGCTATAGTTTATTTGCTTCCATACAATTCAGAGATTAACTTACTTCTCATTCATATGTATTCTTTTTCAGTCTGGTTTATTGTAAATAGGAAAAAGCCAGAGATTTTTATTTTGCGACATATGATTAAATTTGCAGGAAAAATGTAATTTCTTATATAGTACCTTCCAGTTGTCAGACCTGGTTTTCTCTTTCTGTTCACTTTTCTTGCATTTAGAAAGTATTCTGTTATATCATATTTTTCTCAGGTAAAACAAGCAAACAGACAGACAGACAGACATAGTTGTGGGAGTTAGAGAATGTGTGTTCTTCTTGTGGCTTTGCTGGGGTCGGTTAACTATTTCATGCCTCATCTATACACAGACATTAGCTGCTCTGCATATTTTATAGTGTAGTGGAAAATTTGAGGAAATAAAATGATAGAATCCTATATAAAGTTCTGGAAAAATATGAGGTGTTATAATATTATTATAATGACATTAGCATACCTAAAATGGTCTCCTGAGTAGTTATAATCAGAAGGCTTTGAACTTCAACAGACTAATAGAGCAATATTTAACTAGGATGAAAATACTGTTCTTAAATTAACCCCACTTCCACTTTAAGTAAATCAAGCTTGGCCACAAATGTGGCAGGAAATGGTTTCCCATTTGTGTGGGTTAGTGTGCAGATCTGAGGTATGTGAGTGATGTTTTGAAGGACAATTTGAGCATTTAGCACTGTCAAGATCGGTGGGCCCCAAACTTGCCTGCACATTAGAGTCAGCTGGGAAATGTTTTTTTGTTTTTTAAATAGATTTCTTAAGTCTATCCAAGATTTTGATTCAGAAGGTGATACAACTCAGCTGGCTTTGACTTCCCCAAGCATTTCTGATGGGAGTGAGCCACTATAAAAGATGTTTTAATCATAAAATGGTCTAATATAGTACAAAATACATATGAAAAATCTGTGCATTTCAAAAAGGGGCTGGTAATTACCTAAATTCTCTTTTCTTATTGCTTGAAACAATGTGAGCTAGGTGTTGGCCGAAGAGCCTAGCTCATATTTGGCAGTCTAAAAATTGCACTCACTTATTTCATGTTTGTTTTTAATCCTCTGTGCTGAGATCCATTTGGTCCTAGAGGGTGGAAAGTCAGCCGCTAATTTATCTTAATAATATTAGTAATATTTATTGAGTATTTACTGTGTGCTAGGCACTGCTCTAAGCCAAAGGGTGGATGAACTCATTTATTCCTCTCCAAAATTTTTCAGGATAGGCACTCTTTTTATCTTTTTCTTAGATGAAACTGAAACACAAAGAGGTCACTCAACTTGCCCCAGTTGTGCTGACCATCAGTAAATGTCAGATCTGGGATGTGGACGTCGGCCGTCTTACAGCACAGCCTGTGTTCTGAACTTCTGCCTTATGCTGCCTGTAGTTTTAATAAAAGAAACCCAGAAGGTGGCTTTGAAATGCCTAGAAAGAAAATTAAAGGGGGGGGGGGGAGAGTGCCTAGGGAGAGGGATACTGTTTGAAATGGTCACCTGTATTGATGCATGCCCAGATAGCTAAGCTCACCACTTTGGTACCAGTTCTCACACTGTCATGCTCATTTTTTTATTTACTTCATGATGCAATTCTATGGCAGACAGCACAAATGAAAACAATGAAGCATAGAAATGGATTTTAATGTAATGTTAGGCTTTGTTAAATTTTACCAAAGTCATTGATTTTTGTTACAATGTCTAATTTCGGTAAAACGCTTTCTCCAGAGGTTGCTGCTGGCAACTTTTATTGCTTGTCACTGTAGACTGGAGTTTTCTGTGCTATTGAAGAAAGTCACATGGCCTAGGCGTTTAGATATTGCTCCCTGTCACACCTTGATCAAAAAAGAGCATTTCTAGGGCCGGCCGAGTGGCTCAGTTGGTTAAGAGCTCGCTCAAGAGTTTGAGCTCTGAGCAACAGCGGTTCGAGTCCAGCCCGAGCTGAGCAGCCGCTGAGCTGCCAACAGGTAGCAGGATGGCTCAGCTTAAAAAAAAAAAAAAAAAGAGCATTTCTTTCTGCCATCTTAGTTCTTTGCAGTTTTAGGTTGGTTCTCCAATGAAATTGGGTTTTCAGTGTCAATATCAGTACAATGCAATGGCAAAAATTAACTTTGTAGCCTTCTCTGACAGCTGCTGACTTCATATCTAATTATAGCTGTAGTGAGTTAAATTACTTGTTATGATATGTGGAGAAGGACGACAGTCATTAACAAATGCAGTACAGGACTAACTTGGTTTTCTAACAGATTTCACAATAAATATGAAAACTGTTGCCAGACCAGTTTGGCTTGATGCTAGAACAGGAATGTCTTTGTTTAGGGCTCAGAAATAGGGAGTTCTCCCCGGTCTGAATGACTGTGATGGAGTTACATCTGGAGAATGGAGAAATCGAGCTTATTTAAGAAGTTAGAGAGCTTTCAACATTTTTGTCAAAAATAGCTACTGCTAGTCTGCTCAACAAAGAATGCTTGGTATTTGGATAGTGAATAAGGCTTTTAGGTCACAAGTTATTAATAGAAGAATTAGAAGGAAATTGTACCAAAAATAAAGATAAAATTAATAACCAAGCTTCAGATTTTCCACTACTTGTCAAAATGTGTATATTTATAAAATTTAGCTGATTGTCTATAGTTTACTATGACTATATAAATATTTGAAAGCCAGAATAAACGCATTTTTGTTTTTAAAGAATATCTGTTGTGATGGCATGGGCTTGAGAACTCTTTCTGCCTATCTAATAATTTTGACTGGAGTAAGTCTAAATTTAGACAAACAATCTCATTAAAAAATGGGCTGAGGGTGTGAATAGATGTTTTTCCAAAGAAAGACATCACATGGCCAACAGGTATAGGAAAAGGTGTTCAACATCACTAATCATCTGGGAAATGCAAATCAAAACCACAATGAGATATCATCTCATACCTGTTAGAATACCTTTTATCAAAAGACAATAGATAACAAATGTTGTCAAGGATGTGAAGAAAACAGAACCCTTGTACACTGTTGGTGGAAATATAAATGGGTACAGTCATTACAGAAAACAGTATGGAGGTTCCTCAAAAAACTAAAAATGGAACTAACAGATAATCCAGCAATTCCGCTTCTGGGTATTTATTGAAAGGAAATCAAATCACTATCTTCAAAAGATATCTGTACCCCTGTGTTCATTATTCACAATAGACACGGCATGCAAACAACCTAAGTGTCAATTGACAGATGAATGGAAGAGAGAATGTCACACACACACACACACACACACGAATATTATTCAGCCATAAAAAATGAGGAAATCTTGCCGTTTGCAAGCAACAACATGGATGGACCTTTAGGGCATTATGCTGTGAGACAGAGAAAGACTGTATGATATCACTTATATGTGGCATCTTAAAAAACAAACTCATAGATAAACAGAACAGATTGGTGGTTGCCAGAGGCGGGAGAAATGGGTGAAGGAGGTCAAAAGGTACAAACTTTCAATTATAAGATCAATAAGTCCTGGGGATGTCATGTACAGCATGGTTACTGTAGTTAATGGTATCAAATCTATGTTGTATGCCTAAAACTAATACACTGTTGTATGTCAACTATGTCTCAATTTTAAAATAAATTAATTAAATAAATGCACATTAAAATGAAACTTGGATAGGAGGAGTTCAATAACTCCTTGGGGGTCCTGATAGGGTCTGCATAAGTAACCAGACCCTGGTGGGTTTGCAGCAGGCTAAAAGGAGATGGTGTAAAATACTGGGCTGGAGGGAAATCCAAGACCAAGATTGTATACTCCTGGATTTTGCCTGAAGCTGACTTTGGTGGTATGTATATTCCAGCTTCCCTTTCTCCCAGGGTTTCAATAGCATGGTCTGAGGTTAAGGTGAATTTCACAAAGCAGCTCATTCTGTAGGACCTGCCCAACACAGGCCATGTAGCCCGAGCAGATGATCAATATCATTCCACAGACAAGGGCAAAACTTGGTTCTGATTCAGGGTTGTGAATTAGGTCTGTCAGTCTTCTTTAGTAAATAGGAGACCAAAGAAATGCACCAGCAACGTCAAAGGCATGTCCTGTGGTAGGCAGCCATAGATGGCACTTCATTTGCAGTTAGGAATGTTCAGATAAACAGTTGTCAGGATCAGCTCAAATCAGCTGTACAAAAGGTTGACCTTGCCCAGGGCTCACTCACCCCAGAAATACCATTCTTGGTGCTTACAAAGGGTGCCAGATGTTCTTATCTCTTCAAGATGTCCCTGCTGACCTCATCACCTAGGAAATACATTCCAGTGGTGTTGACAAGCCCTCTTCTGCCAGTAAATGAAGACCAGATAGGTGCGCTTTTAAACCAGAAGTTATATCCTGTGCCAGTCATACATCATTGGCTGTAGTAATCAGGATTACAGATTAGCAGGGAAATTGAGGCTAAGAGCATAATGAAAGTTATTTTAAAAAACCAAACAAACCAAGTGTCACATTCTGTAAAGGTGAGTGGACACTTTACATTAAAAAAAAAAAAGACTTTTTGTATTTAGTCCTTAAAGTGTTTTGTCTTCTTGAGAATTAGTTTTTCAGCCTTTTCTTCACATATGAGGTGTGATCAAACAATACAGTGAATGTTTAAATAAAAAAAAATTATTACAGTAAAAGACACATTGCCATTAATCCCCCTCACTTCAAACACACTTATCCCATCGTTCTTGCCACTTTCTGACGCAATCCTGGGAGTCCTCTTTCATGAGTGTCTTTAGTTGTGCTGTCATGGTTGCCTTGATGTCCTGAATCTATTCAGTGCCATCCAGTGGAAAGGCAAGGATCTTCAATACAGAACGCAGTGTGTCGAACCTTAGTAACAGTGTGTGTGACAAGTTTCAATTTGTTCGGTGCAGTTAGTGGAGTGTGAGCTACGGTTGAGAGAAGGTGTGTTTTAAAATGTGCCGTAAATCATCCTCCATCATGACAATGCTCCATGTCACACATCGCTCCTGGTATATGGCAGTTTCTGTCAAATAAAAACATTACTGTGTGTTCTTATCCACCTTACTCACCAGATATGGCACTGTGCAACGTCTGGCTCTTCCCCAAAGTCAAAATGACCATGAAAGGTAAACGTTTTGAATTGAGTCAGGACATTGAGGCAGCCACAACAGAGCAACAAAAGACACTCACAAAAGAAGACTCCCAGAACTGCTTCAGAAAGTGGCAAGAACGATGAGAGAAGTGTGTTCGAAGCGAGGGGGAGTATTTTGAGGGGGTTAATGGCATTTTTAAATTTAAATGTTCACCATATTTTTTTATTACACCTTGTACATCTGCACAGTCTGAAGATCTCATCGATCTTAATTCGAACCCACTGGTTAGATAGCACTGAACATGTCTACATTAGACCAAGTGACTGTGACTAAGTGAAAATGTTAGTTTCCGTATCTGTGAAATGAGGGTTTGGACTGCTCTCTGAGATCTCTTTCGGCTATTACATTTTTTTGTCAGGTCCATTTCTGTAGCTTCATGGTTCACCTAAGGGCTCTTGAGAGTAGCAAAAGTCTGCCTTTGAAAATACCGGATCTTGAACATGAATGTATTGTCCTCTGGAAAGTGGTATTACTTGGTCTCTAGAAACTAAGACAAGGATATGTACATATCATTGTCCAAACAGCAATACTACTGAGATAGCAATTTGAAGCATATAACTTTATTTATGGATAGCTCACTGTTTTTATATTCCGACAGTTAATACAAGAGTTTCAGAGTATTTTATATTAGAGGTGATATCACAAAATTACTGTATCAGTAGTGATTTGATCTTTTGTTGTACATTAAAAAAAATCATCCCTGTTGAAGTTTTCACAATTGAAGCTTTCTATATTTACAGGATAAAAGTTGAAGCTTTCTTTTTAATTCCTACATCAATTGGAGGCAGTTTTATTTCCTTATACTGTTTTTTTTTTAAAAAACAATCACTTATTATAGGCCATGGTTTGAGCCAAAGAGTGGAGGTGAGAGTCTAGAGTAGAGGTCGGCAAACAATGACCCGCAGGCCAAACCCAGCTCACCCACTGTTTTTGTAAGTTTCATGGGAACAAAAGCGCACTTGGCTTACACATCATCCATGTCTGCTTTCGCAATGCAATGTCAAAGTTGAGTAATGATGACAGAGACTGTATGGTCCATGAAGCCTAACATGTTTACTCTTTAAATATTTACCTTTGCGGAGTAAGGTTGCCGACTCCTGGCCTGGAGCAGTGCTGTCCAGTAGAACACCGGGCATGGGTGGATGTGTTCTTTCCATATCTGCACCGTGTAGTACGGTAGCCTGCTGCAGGACTATTGTGCACTTGAACTGTGGCTAGTGCGACTGACAAACTGGACTTTTAATTTTGTTTCATTTTAATTTACACCTAAAATGAAATAGCCACCTGTGGCTAGAGATTATTGTATCGGACAGTGCAGGTCTAGAGATTTGAGGATGAGGGCATTATGGTTGCAGATAGCTAATTGTTTTATATTGAATTCTGTGGAATAGAGGGTATGTGACTCTTGTGATGATAAATGGTTGTATATCATGTGTCTCTATAGGCTTATAATTTTTTCAAAGTTCCCTATGATTTCATCTATTTCACATGTACTGTTTTTTCTCTACAGTGAGGAGGAGCTCCCATATCATAATGCAGCTATGGAACGGGTAAGGCCAGCCATGTATTTACTTATAGTTACTGGTGAATTGTGCTTGTCATATAAAGAAAATCTACCACCTTTCTGATTTTAAGTACTGTATTCTATATAAATGGAGCAGTCATTGGAAGGATTTGACCCTAAGTATGTCATTATGAGAAATAAATTACATTAATGGGGAAATACCTTTTAGGAGATTTGATGGGACTTCTGATAGGTACTGGAGAAAGGCGCTGTAGCAGTTAGCAGAGAAGATCTGCGCTCTGGATGGGCGGTTCTCAGCCTGGCCACGCTTCAGAGTGCAGCCCTTTAAAGAGCTTGGGTGCTTGGGACCCACCTCGGCCTGTGAGGCAGGCTCTCTGGGCAGGCGCCTGGATGGGTGACGAGTAAACAGCTTCAAAAGTGGTCCTCCTGAGCCCCGTGGCTAATAAAGCACTATGCTAGAGCAGTAGCTCTTTGGAACATGGCTATTCCATGGACTGTTAACTTTCCCACAAAAAACCATCACAAAGGTGGCCGTGTCCAATAAGGATACTAGCCTTTCAAGGACTTAGAGAAGTTTTATATTATATATTGTACACCTGTCACTTTTGTTAGTAACTCGCTGTTTCCGCTTTCTTTATTTTAGTTGGTTAGGGAGCTGGTTCCGTAGCTGGGTGTGCATGAGAACTAGGAACTGAATGTTTTAAAGTTGGTCAGACTCTCCCTCCTCTTTTCTTTTTTTTTTTTCTACACCAAAAAATGAATTGTAGAATGAGAGAGAAGCTATTGATTGGGATTATTCTCAGTCTGTTTGTGTTTGATGGGGAAGGAGGCTGAGTTTCAGATAATGAAGTAAAATTAGAATTGGAATTTGAAAAATATTTTAGAAAATCTTTCAAAAATCAAAATTTTCTGGAAAAAAACCAAAACGGTGGCATAACATTGAGATATAGACAGAATTGCCGTTTCCCATATAGAGAGATCCCTCTAGGTACTGCCTGCAGTTGAATTTTCTTGTAAATACCTGCTTTTCTCTCAGTATCATAACCTTGATGTTATGGCAGAGGAATTTCTTTTTTTTCTAAAGATTTTATTGGGGAATTGGGGGAGGGGAACAGCATTGGGGAATTAGGGAAGGGTAACAGCCAAGTTGTTGTCCTTTAGTCTTAGTTGTGGAGGGCGCAGCTAGCTTAGCTCCAAGTCCAATTGCGCCGCTCAGCTCAAGGTGCCATGTTCACTTAGTTGCAGGTGGGTGTAGCTGCCATACCATGCAGGAGTTGAACCGGCAGCTTTGTTGTGAAGAGCACATGTTCTATCCCCTGAGCCACCCACGGCAGCTCAGCTCAAGGTGCTGAGGTCAGTCTTAGTTGCGGATGGGCGTAGCCCACCATCTCCAACAAGCAACCTTGTTGTTAGGAGCACGTGCTCTCACCAGCTGAGCCATCCTGCCACCTGTTGGCAGCTCAGCGGCAGCTCAGCTCGGGCACAGCTGACTGGCCCATGTGGGAATCATACTGGCGACGCTGCTGCTCAGAGCTTGCACTCTTGAGCAAGCTCTTAACCAACTGAGCCATTTGTCTGGCCCAGAATTTCTTTCTTTTAAGAGCTACATTATTACGTAGCACTGGACTAGGTACTACCTGGAATATTAGGGTCAATTAAGATGTAGTGTCTGCCTGTGAGATGCTCACTGTCCAGTGACTGGAGGAAGATCAAATGAGGCAATCTGTGGGAGATTACTGGTGGCTTCTGGGAGTGTAGAGATGACATGGTAGAGCTGGTGGTGGTGGTGGTGGTGTGTGTGTATGTGGTGGTGGTGGTGGGCCCGGGTGTAAGCCGATTCCCTGTGGCTAAGGAACGAATGAGAAGGAAGTGATGAGTAAAGAAGGAAGTGATGAGTAACGGCGCCCTCTCTAAATCCTGCCTCTGATGAACTCTCTACCAGTCCTCTTTGCAATGGGAACATAGGATTTGTTTCCATTCTGACTGTTCTCTTATCTAGTACCTTGGACCCCGCTGATACCACCACTGTTTCATTATCCCCGACTACACTCATGTCTTCATTCCCCTCTTCCCAGTTCCCTACAGTCACTTGCACATTCCTTCACCTCCGTCACCCCCCTTGCTGCTTCTGGGCTGCACTACAGCCCTAGCTAAAGCCAGCTTCCTGCCGCTGCAGTGCCTGCTCCTGCATGGCCAAGTGCAACTAGGAAAAGACTCACAACCATGCCCACTGGCTTTACTTTAAATTCACGACCACAGACCTTAACTGGAGCACTGGCCCTGCCTGGACATCTTGCTGTTCTTCCTCGGTGACTGTCTGCTCTCTTTCCAACTACTGGGACCTTCTCGTCCCTCCTCAAGCCTTCAGCACCTTCTTCTCTGCTCTCTCTCAGCTAATGTTCTTGCTTCTTATTTCTTATAAGAAAATAGAAGCCATCAGAAGAGAACTTGCTCGGGCTTCCACAGCCACATGTGCGCACCTATCGCCATCTGTGCCTAATGCTCTGGTTCCTGTGCGGGTCTCTGTCCCTTGTTCAGGAACATCACTCGAGCTAGTCTTCCCTTTCCTCTCTCTCCTGAATTCTTTCTATTTTGAATTCTTTCTCTTTCGACTTGACTGTTTGCGATCAGAGTAAAATCTATTGTTATTCCCATTAAAAAAAACACACCAATCTTCTTTTGACCCCATTTCCGCCTCAGCTACTGCCCCAACTCCTTACACCATTCTGTGTTGCCCTTACTCTTGAGAGAGGTGCCTATATTCTTTCTTTTCCACTTCTTTCCTGCAGTTCTTCCTTGTATCCATGCCAATCAGACTTTAGCTCCCCTGCCCCCCACTGCCATTTTCAGGTCCCCAAGCACCTTGATACTGTTAGATAGGCAGGCAGTTTTCAGCCTTCCGCTTGACCGACCTGCAGCGGTTCACGTGCTTGGTCACCGTCTCATTCTTGCACATTCTCTGTTCTTGGCCTTCAGAACCCCATACTCTCCTCATATGCTTCTTTCCTCACTGGCTGCTCTCTGTTAGCTCTGCTTATTCTTTCTCACGTGCTTTGGGGTGCCCAGGCTCAGGCCTCGACCTTCTCTTTCCTGTTCGTATTTCTTCCATGGTTATCTTATCTTGTCTTTTGTCTTTAAATGCCAACTGCATGTTGATGACTTGGCTCCCTGAATCCCACACTTGTATATCTTTGTATATACATTTCAATGTCCAGCCTTAGATGTCTGACTTAACTGTATACACTTAGATGTCTAATAAATGTTCAGCGTGGGGTTTCTGTGTTTCCTTCAACTCCATTCTATTAACCAACTTCCCTGTCGCACTAAATGGGAACTCCACTCTTCCAGTTGTTCAGCCTAAATATTGTGAGTTACCGCTGACTTTTTCATAGCCCACGTTTCTTCTGTTAGCAGTCCCGTGAGCTCTGCCTTCATATGTTCCCAGAATCTGACACCTTCTTGCCAGCTGTACTCCTGCCACCTGGTCCACTGTGACCTCTCCCGGAGCTTCCTGCTTCGGCCTTGTCCCGCTCTCCCCCCACAGCCTGTCTTCACCAAAAAAGCAGGAATGACCCTGGTAAAATAAGTAAGATCATGTTGCTCTCGAATCGGAACATCGTGGTGGCTCCCCATCTCATCTGCAGTGAGGGGGCAAGTCCTTAGAATGCTCTGCAGAGCCCTGAGCGACCTGGTTCCTGTTAAGTCTCTCACCTCCTCTCCTCCGGCCTTCCATTGCTCACTGGCCTCCTCGTGCTTCTTGGGCGCTCTCCGGGCCCCCTCTTCAGGCCTTTTGCTCTGGCTGCTTCCTTTCTTGTGCGCTTCCCCTGAGAGTGACAAGTCTCAGGTGTTTACTGAAATGTCACCTTCAGAAAAAGACCCTCCCTGGCCATCATATCTATTAATAAAATTAGGAACTGTTCCCACAGTACTAAGCACTCCCTTCCCTCCTTTATTTTTTTCTTTAGCACTTACCGTCATTTCACACATGACATGTTTTACCTACTTTTTATTTGTGTGTTTCCACACCAGGATGTATCTCTGTGAGGGGGTTTATCTGTTTTGCTCCCTGCTGTATCCCGAGGACCCGGGCAGCGCACAGGGTGTGCAGGAAGTGGTGACAGGATGCATGACCAAATGGGGCAGTGACTGCTTCAGAAACAGTGTGTTGATTCGGAGATGGCAGAGTCTGTCCTTTTTAATGTTAAATGTCCTTTACTTGAGAAATCAGGGAGAGATATCCAGGGAGAGACGTCCACAAAAGATATCCATATTTGGCAAGATAAAAATCTGGAAATGCAATACTGACTTCTCTCTCCATTGCCTAGAAAGTCCAGAAGTCTGGGAACCAGTGATATAGATGATTCAAGAAATGTGACAGTAAAGAAACAAAGAAATATAAGACAAAAGCTAGTGGAGGATGCATGCTTTTAGGGAGGTTTTAAAAAATGTTTTTTTGTTATTTTGTTGTTTATATTTGTCTATGCAATAAAAGACCTACCAGTGCAATCCAGCCTATAATTAATTGGTTGTTTAAAGAGTTTAATAGGAGAAAAAAAAAAGACCTCCGCACACCTTACTAACTTAACATGAGACAATTTTGTATTCCTTTGTCGGTCTTATTGGGAGAGGGACTGTGTTCTGAGGCTGCCTGGACTGAGACTCCATTGTGCCTTTTGTACATAAACTGTTCTCATATCGCATGACCTGCCTTTACAGTTTTGGTTTCCTCATAGTGGGATGAGAATTTTAGACACATGCAAAGCAGTATAAGGCTAGATACCTTTCAGTTTATCAGGATTTCCCCCCATTTTTCTGGTTTAAGTTTATGTATTCTTCCGTGACTGCCCAGTCCTAATAGCCAAACTCTGCCATTTCTAGGAAACTAATACAAAATTCTAAATGTATGATTTCATTGAATAAAATCAATGGCAGTGATAGCCTTGCTGATGCCTACAAGTGTTTATTAATCTTTACAAAGCATTCACTTGAAGCATGCACCAAATTGCCATTTGGGAAGACTTGTAC